AGGTAGCAAGGACTCTTCCAAGGCGATTTCCTTAGTGATTCTTTGTTTTGTTTCCCTTTCACTAGCAGTAATGCCACTGGCCATTGTTATCTGTCTTTTTTCTCAGAGCTCCAGAGGAGTTGCTCGTCACCCCATGTTGCTCGTCTTTGCTCTGCGCATGGCTCTGCATGAGTAAAAGCAGTGGAGTCTTCTGCCCTGCTGTGCTGTGGGAGGCTGGTGAGCACCAGCAGAGGCTCTCGACATCCTCTTTGGAGAATCCCAGTGCCGCTTCATTGGGATTCCTTCAAGTTCTCCTGGATTTTCCTCCTTGCAATAACAGGCTTTCTCGGTTGCACATGCAGAGGGTTATTTCCACATGGTCATGTACTGGAACAGTGATGATAAGGGTCTAATAAGAGGAATAACTTAGCTGATTTTATGTAGGTGACAGGCATTGCTAGATAGGGAATGTTCAGGTGTTGCTTCATTCACTTGTCAAAAGATATGTCTCAGGGACGACTTTTAGGACAGGAAATATCCTGGTTCCTAGATCTGGTTCTTCCTGTTTCATTGAGGAGGAGCGATTGCGGCACAGCAGAGCTAGGGCTTGATACAGAAATGAGAAATCCAGAGGAGAAATTCGTGCGCTTCTCTGCCAGGATGTGTCTGTGCGTCGCCCGCCGTCAGCGGCGGGGATAGAGGAGGTTGCCATTGCTGTTCAGACCCTTTGCCTTTTTCTGGTGAATAATTAACGTTGTCTGATGTTTTTCCCTTTTCTAGGAGCTTTGCATTATTATCTTACTTTGCATGCATCGTCTGTTATGTGGCGATTTTGAGCATTTCTTGCTCCACGCAAAATTTAAGAACGCAAGTTAGATGGGTCAGTATCTCATTCACCTACCATGATCACATACCAAATGAATAAATTGGGTTAAAAGAAAGAAACCTCTTAATATTTGTAACTGCCTTATAGCTCTTTCATAACATCACTTTGTCTCCTTGATGCATACGAATTTCATTCTGGAGCATAAACGCCCAGGGCCTCCTGGCCCTCACCCTTGTGATTTTACCTTCTGTTTCCTCTTGCTTCCCTTTCATTGTTCATGCTTGTTGTGCACCCCCCTCCTGACTTCCCTCTCACATGCAGCTATGTAGCTCCGTGTTGCTGCTTTTTTTTTTTTTTCTTTTTTCTTTTTGTGTCGACGTGAGCTGTAAGTTCCAGTCTGACATCGTATCAGTATCCCCCTGGGCTGAGTTCCTCTTTCTTAAAGGTGGATTGGGGTGGGGGGTAGCCACAGATCTCCTGTCTTGTTTTTTATAGCTTCTTTTTGTAGCACAATGGTGCAAAATATCTCTGGGGTGATTGGCTCTTAGTTTTTTTCTTCAAGGCTGAAAATGTAAGCCTTGCCTGCCCTGGCAATTGGGTGTTTAATGGAAAAATCAGTGAGATTTTGCAATAGCAAATATCAAGCAAGAGAGACTTTGTTGGAGCAGTTGCTGTTTTCATTCAGACTCTTTATAATTCTGTGGTTTTGCTTGTTTGTAACTTGTTAATACTTATTTAACTGACATGCTTGGGAGAAAAGAGCCTTTGTGTAGGACTTGACACCCAAGCCCTTCACCATGATGACTGAAAAAGCTCCAAAGAGTCATGTTTGAGTGCTTCAGTGCAAAGCTGAAATGCAATCATGTTTTTTCCTAAAGGTGAGAGGAAAGACACAGTGAGGGCGTCAGGCCTCCTGTCTACGTGTCCACAAAAATATGAAAGAAGCTGTACGAAACTCAAAGCTGTGTGTTGTTTACAGCGGGCACGGACACTTCAAGAGGTGTTAGGAGGTCAGTGGTGCAGTGATACTTTTGTTCAGAAACTGCTTTGGTATTACTCTGAGAGCGATGACCCAACAGCTAAGTATCTAATGAGGAGCGCATTCAATACCCCTTTTACCCCGTACATTTCTATTTTAAAAAAGAAATAACGAAGGTTGAACTCTAGGCCTCGATATCGGCGTTGACCATGATGCGGTCTCATGAACACTGGCACGTGCCAGGCTGTCTGGGGGTCCCCTCTGCGCTGATGGCGTTCCTGGTGTTTGCGTGTCGCACGTCAGAGACGAGCACGCCGTTTTCTCAGAGGGATGGCTGTGCACGTTGGGTTTGTTTGCAGATGCTTAAGAGATGAGTACGAGTGCTTCTTTCGGATTGCTATGATTATGTTTCAGGTGCTTGAATAAATTTGGAAAAAGAGATGCCTCAGTGTTTACTGTTTTGTGGTCAGTCACGACACCATGACTGACAGAGCTATGTCCATTTTCACTTTAAAAGGTGGAAGGGTCTGAAAGGTTTCTGCAGGTTGGTGCTTGTTTTGGTTTCATTTTTGCTTCCTCTCCTGTGCCCCTTTGGTCCATGCCACAGAGACTCATCCTCAGTGCTTGTCCCCTGGGGCTGATAGGGCTAATGGCTCTGCCCGACTTGGAAGCTGGAGAAGGCCTTGATGCCCCATGTGTGTCTGCAGTGCTCGACACAGCAGTGTGTTATCAACAGGGTCACGTCCTATCAGCTGTGCTTCAGTCGCCCTTCTGCAGCCACTTACTTCAAAGCAGGGTTTGTCTGACGGGGCACAGTTTGTGTGCAAAGCCCCAGACAAACCCAGGGTGGGAATTGCCTTCCTCACCACGCTGTTATAAGGCTCTCTCGGCCTCCCAGGCGCTCGTCTGGGTGGTGCTGATAGGGCCTAGCCCGGCTGGCCGTGCAGATTATGCAGAACTGTCAGCCTGGGATCATGACCCGTGTGACCAGAGAGGCTCGTTTGAGGGCTTCCTGGCAGAAGATACGCACCTGCCCATGCTCAGAGTGAGGCTTGGAGCCTTCGGGAGTTGCTCCTTCCCACCTCTCTGCCTTCCTTATATATATATATATGTATATGTATTTATAATTTTCAGTGTAAGTATAGCCTGTGGCAGATAGGGGAGGGAAGGTATTTCTGAGACAATGATTTTATTATTATTATTATTTTTATATATATATATTGTTATTTCCCCCCGCCTTCCTTCTCACATAGTTGAGTCTTATGCTGTGGCTGCACTGTAGATTGGGAAGAATATCTTCGCTGCTTCGTTGTTGCTTAACGAAAAGAGAGAAGTAGTCAACACTAAGATAGCGAGTGTTATGAGTCAACGCTGTGTAATGACATAATCCCAGGTTTCCAATGCCTGGCAGATGTTAAGCTCTTTAAAGCAGAGTCAAGCCATTTAAAATGAGAATAGATTGCCAGCCTGTTGCAGCAGAACAGCTGTTTTGGGGAGAGGTGGAGCAGAAGTCCTCTAATTCTGCTCAGAATTGTACTGAGGTCCTGGAAACCAGCAAGGAGCTTGGAGAAACTGGGAAACGGAGGCACAAATGTATCGTGCCCTGCAGGCAGTTGGCGAAGCAAAAATTAGCTCAACCATTAGAGGAGACCGTCGGGTCTTCAGGACAGCTGGGCGCCCAGGGCCTCCTGGTCAGTCTGTGCTGAGGAACCATGTGTGGAACTGGAGATCCAGGACTATTAGCACCGTGCCTCCAACATCGCTTTAAAGACAGGTTTGCCTGAAGATTATGGAGGTGTCAAATTAACTTCCCTGCCAGTCTTGTTAGAGGTCTGGTTATGCTCCTGTATAAACTATGCTGCTTGTCTTAATTGAGCTGCATCTGACTAAAGGTTGGGTGTATTTGGTAGCTTTTGTGGGTATCTGTAAGGTGCTTTTGATCACATGAGGCTAAGGTGCTTAGCCCTGTCGCTTTCTCCCCACAGTTGTGAGGCTGAGATCTTCAGAAACTGCCCTCTGTCCCGTTCAGTAGACGAGCGGGGCTGCGTGGGCTGTTCAAGGACCTGAAGTCTGTAGAAAGAAGCTCTGTGTTTGTGCAGGTGAATATTTTTTTCCGCTGCGTAGCGAGAATTGAAGCTGGAGTCAAAGCTGGTGGCCTGGGGCGTGCTGGGCGATGCAGCGGAGCGCAGAGCGCGCGGCAGGAGTGGTGCAGGGCAGGCACGGGCCCTGAGCTTGCCAGCCCTCCCCACAGCTCCGCGTGGCTGCAGCTTGTGGCTCCTGCCCTGCGGCGCCGTCGCCCACGTCTGCGGGAGCGGAGCTGCGGATCGGTGCTGCCAGCGGGACCTTCTCTTGACAACCTTATCTCCCCTAAGCTGTTCCTCGTTTCGTCAGTGCAGATTGGGTCCTTGTAACGCGTTCCCTTTTGGATCATACCGAAAGCTCCCTTGGAAATTTCGGCCAGTTCAGAACGCAGTTATCTGCTTGTTTTAGAGGGTTTCCTGCAGGGAGCTCGGTGCACCAGCGCTCCAGTTCAGTGTTGTGGGTTCTTCTTTTTTCTTTTTCTTTTTTTAACAGTTCAGCGTGTTTAGTTTGGAACTGCAAGCTGTCACAGTTTGTTTCCTGTGTATCTTGAAAATTACCTTAGCCCGACAATGGAGCTCAGCTGCTGTGTGTTAAGCCTATGCTTTACAGCTCCTGTGCATTTTGTGTTCATTGGAAAGCTCTGGGTTTGGCCTCCCGCTGGAATTTGCTCCTTCACCTTTGCTTTTTGGCGTTACCACATCATTTGAATTTCAAGGTGCCCTGTGTCTTTCTCAGGTACCGACTAATGAAATTTCCTGATGCAGAGCAGATAATGAGAAGATGCAACAAATTAATTTCTCTGCAGATTGAGGGTGATTGAGTGCTTTTAGATTGAAAGGATATGTGCAAATGGAGTTTTGGAGAGATGCATTTGTATAAGTAAGTAAATTAAAACAACATTTGAAAAAAAAATGCTGCAATAGCCATTTATCTTGGCAGAATGAACTGAAAACTGAAGCAGTGGATGGCCAGCATCCCACCTTATTTGAATCATGAGGGAGTCGCTGGAGGAATTTTAGATTTGTGAGGTCTTTTTGCAAGTGAGTCACAAGAGCATCCATCTTCAGAGTTAAAAGCAATGCATGTGTCCAATGTACATACTTACCCTTACACAGTATTTTCTTTTTCCTCAGGCTAATTCTGAGGAGGATGTGGAAGAGCATCCACAGGAGCACAGGTAAGCAAAACCTACATGAAAACATAAGTATTAAAGCTCAATTTGTTTTTTTTGCATTAGGAACTACTGAAGTGTTACTGGAGACTACTGAAAAGTGATCCTTTTTCCTGCTTTGTTATATTAAACACCTTTTATTATTTGTGGCTTTATTTTCTCAACTCATATTAATATTCGTTTGTTACCAAAACCAAAAAATAAAGGGCAACATATCAGTGGTTGAAATAAATGCCCTCTTGTCTGTTTCATTTTACATCTAAGCTACTTTTTATTGCTTTTGCAAAAAAAAAAAAAAAGTTTATTGAGATGCTTTATTGTGTACTCTGTAATTCATTCGTTCAAACTAAGGACAATTTTCAGTTCCAGAATTTGCAAACCTAAGTAGTCCTGGAGTGTTAATGTTCACAGCAGGGTAAAGAAGACTTCAAGTCAAAGACCTTTCAATGTGTTGCAACAGAACACTAAAAATCCCACTTTGTTTCTTGAAATTAGATAAATAGTAAAGCTCTTAAGAAACGTAGCCTTCAACTACGCTGTTTCTGCCAATGTCAGGCCTCCTCTGTTTTGAGTAAACAGTGCTGCGGATTATTTTTTAAATACACATCGTGCTTCCTCCGAGTGTCCAGATTAAAATGCTTGGACGTGTCCCAGTGAAACATTTCCTTCCTCTGGTATGCATTAATGCGGGCACAGCTCTCGGTGCCACGCGAGCCATAACGATCACGAGACCCAAGATAAGCCGGAGCGGCTGCAGCGGGAGGGCCCTCCTCGCCCACCCCCTGCCCCGGGCGAGGGCAGCTCTGAGGACAGGCGAAGGGACGTTGCGGCTGGGCTGCCCTCCAGAACGGCGCTTCTCTGCTCTCGCTGCCTGTGGTTGTGTTTTTATTTTAATTTTCGTTTTTTGTCCCCTCTTTGTGCCCTGTCGGGAGTGCTCTCCTCTGTGGTGTGTTTGTGAACCAAGGTCAGATTGAGGCTCTCATGCCTAACCTTAGTAGGAATGACATAGGTGGAACAGAAACAGGATAGCTGAATTACTGCTGCTTCTAACACCTGTTGGTGGTCATTTCCACTTATGTACATCGCCTGATTCCTCTCTGTAGAGGAGGGGAAAAGTCTTTTTCTCCCTGCTTTCAGAAGAGAGGAACAAATGATTTAAAGTGTGATTTTTGTTGTTTCTTTTTTATTATTTTTGTTTTTCCTTTTTTCTTCTGTGTAAACGCAGAATTTTGTCTGTCAGCTGGGCTCTACTAAAGTTTTGACGCCAGGTTTTCACTGCATGCCTGAGCAAGCTCTCTTTGTGGGGATGTCGTCAGAAGACTGCAGTCGAGGGCTGTGCTTCAAATGGGGTCTGGGATTTTTCACAGAGTTGCGGCTTGAGGCAGGTGGGCAAGGGGAGGACTCTTCACCTGCCTGATCTTCCTGAGGGATGGACAGAGCAACTGGCTCCTATGGCAATAATGAAAACATTGGTTAAAGATAATAGTTCTTTGAGGCTCGCATAGGAAATAGGAAAAAGTGGTTTGGATGGAGTGGTTTAAAGTAAAAAAGTAGTTTAAGGGGCTGGAGCATTTCTCATATGAGGTAAAGACTTAGTGAGCTGTCTAAGTTAGCTGTGTTTAGTCGGGAGAAAAGAAGGCTGAGAGGACATTTGATCAACATGTTCAAGTATCTGAGGGATGATTGTAGGGAGGATGGGGCCAGACTCTTCTCTGTGGTGGCTGGTAACAGGATGAAGGGTAACGGGTGCAAGTTGAACCCCATGTGAGGAAGAACTTATTTTCTGTGAGGGTGACAGAGCCCTGGCACAGGCTGCCCAGAGAGGTTGTGGAGTCTCCTTCTCTGGAGATCTTTCAAACCCCGCCTGGACACCACCCTATGCCACGTGCTCTAGGTGACCCTGCTGGAGCAGGGGGGTTGGACTAGATGATCTCTAGAAGTCCCTTCCATCCTCAA